AAAAAAAAAAAAAAAAAAAAAAAAAAAAAAAAAAAAAAAAAAAAAAAAAAAAAAAAAAAAAACCATTGCTCTCTGCTATCGTCTTCCTGCGAAGGCAATGCACCCCTATCCCGACTGCATATGAGCTATCTTCGCGGTCAGATGCAGTCAAGACGAGGGTGCATTGTGCTGGGGGAAGATGGTAGCAGATGAAACTGGGAAGTCTCCAGGAGCCAAGTCCCACTACCGTACGTGGAGGTTTTGGTCCGCCCTAGGCGGCACCGTGTAATGTTCTATCCAGCCGTGGACTGCAGAAGATCGCAAGGAGAGGAAACAACGTAGGTATGTAAAATTGTGATTTAAACGCCGTCTTTCATTGGTGGACGTTTTTTTTGTTTTGGTCAACGGCGGTCGTCTGGTTTTCGTTCCTCGCACGGTGTGGGGTATGCAAGTAACGGAAACCCTAAGGCTCGACAGACGGCATGAGCATCCTCAGACTGTCACCCCAACAGAAAAATGCTGTCCCCTCACTGACTTGTGCCGAGGAGGGTTGTGCTGGCTCTTGCAGAGGGCTCGATCTCCTGTCATTGCGCTTTGGGGGTGGCATTGAGTCGACCCGGCCATGACCCTCACCCTCCAACTGCCACGGTACACGATTTTCTTTTTCTTTTTCCTTCTCGTCCAACCGTCACACTGCGCCACACAGTGCAAGGAACCAAAACTTTCATGCGGTAGTGGGACTTGGCCCCGGAAGTTCTTTTTTCGTCTTTTTTTTCCAGGATGGGATTTGCCAACTTTAATGTCACCCCAAAAAAAAAAAAGTCAGTCAGTCAATCAGTGAGTCAGTCAATCAATGTCTGTCTGCCTTAAAATGGCCTCTGGTGTTGGCCTTGTTGCTGCAGCTGGATCTTTAAACCACAAGTACACTCTGGTGTTGGCCTTGTTGCTGCAGTTGGATCTGTAAACCACAAGTACACTGCCCCATCCTTGCAGTCCAAAACTTTCCGCCACAAGAAAACGAGGCCGAAACCTCAAACGCTGGGGCCCGCCGTTGATACATTCGATAGGCAGTCGCGTTTTCGTTTCTCGCCTCCAAAATTTGAGGTGTCAGGCCAGAGGCCCAGGTGCCCATGCACTGGTGCTCTAAGAAGGAAGGAGGGGAAGGGTGTGTGTTCTGTTCGTGTGCTTCTGAAGGGGGTGATGGCTTATCCTGTACGTTTTTTTCTTTTTTTTTTCTTATTTATTTATTTATTGTTTTTGGAAAAACCGCCCCCACCAGTATTAGTGATCCTGTACGTTTTCTTTTTTTTTGGTTGGACCATTTCTCTATTTATGCGTGTCATCCTTGCGCAGGGGCCAGGACCCACTAGCGCCGTATTATACCGTGTACGTACGGTTTTCAATCACGTGTGACAGAGTTGGATTACTACATGCCATCGATGGAGGGGAGAGGGGAGGGAAATCGTGCGGCATTCTGAGTTTTGAACAGATTCAGAAAAAGCCAAAAAGTTTTGGCTGTGTACCCTATGCACTTTCACCATTTGTTCCTGCTACAGTGCTTCACGTGCACAAAAGGGCCGACAAAAAAAGAGCAGAAAGCGAGTTTTTCAAATCTGAAAAAATACAGAAACCATTTTTCAAATGCCAAAAGGGTGTCACACGCCACTGTCCCACGGTATAATACGGCGCTAGTGGGTCCTGGCCCCAGGGGCCATGCTAATCTTTTTTTTTTTTTTTAATATTAAAGAAACAACCCAAACGGGTGCTAGGGGTGGGCAGGGGCCATGCTAATCTTCTTTCTCTGTATCGTTCCCATTTTAACGGATGTCCCGAAGGACATCCTGTCCTTTCTGCGGCCCCCCTACTTTTCTGGTCACATGGCGCTCCACATCCTAGTGTCAGGTACTATGGTGGCAGCTGAAAACTGACAAGGCCTCCTAAGATCATGGGGGACGAGATTGGTGAAGTTGATGTCTGTCGGCCTTAGAAAATGGGCTCTGCTGTTGGCCTTGTCGCTTCAGCTGGATCTTTAAGAAGGGAGGAGGGGAAGGGTGTGTGTTCAGAGTGTTCATGTGTATCTGGAGGGGGTTATGGCTTATCCTGTAAGTGTTCAAGATACTGCTGTTCCCATCTGCGAGCCCCCTACTTTTCTAGTGACATGGCGCTCCTCAACCTATTGCATGAATTGCTCTGGGGAAGACCAAATTGCCAGGCGTTATGTGGAGGATGATCTCGAGTATACGCTGTGTGAAGGCGTTGACTGCAAGGAGAAATACGGAATGAACAGGTCCCTATACGATTCAAGTGAGAAGAGGTGCGTGTTTGATAAGGCTCTATGTCGGAGCTTCGAGGAGTCCCCCGACGAATGCCTTCCTCCTCCAAGGGGAACGTTTGAGAATGGGACCATCAACTGCAATCATGGGGTGCCGATCCGGAACGGCAGATTGTGCAAGTGCGACGAAGGGTGGGATAACTCTCCAGATGAGTGGGGAGAACTTGGTAGTTGGTGCACCTTAGACTTATATAACCACCGAGCAGAACAGGTATTGTACCCTCCTTCTCCCCCACAATTCGAGTACGCCCTCCCGCCGGGATCCCAATCGCGTGCAAGGCCAGAGCTTATCCTCTGGGTTGCGATTCTGGCACCATGTGCAATTGTTCTGTGTGGTTGCCTTGGGTGCTGTTTATGCTGCGCCTGTTTCTTCAGGAAGATTTTTCGCGGGGCAGATAAAAAAAACAAGGAGGGTGGAGAAGAAGAAGAAGATAGCAATGAGATAGGAAAGAAAGGAGGGGGGGCAGGGAAGAAAGTTGGTCAAGAAGCAAGGAGTGGAGGCAAACAGACTGAAGGGGGAAAGGCAGGAGGAGTAGGAGGGGGTGGAAGAGGTGGCGGCGGCGAAGGAAGAAAAAAGAAAGGTGGTACGCGGAAATCCAGGGCAAAAGGCAGCGCACAGGAGGAGTTGCTACGGTCTTTGACCCTCCGTCGCGCAACGGAGAAGATAAACTTAGGCTTTTCGTACAATCATGGGTTCAATATGATGACTAGCGGTCAACCTAGTCGCCTGAGCAGAGGTACTATGTCTGGTGTGAATGGCATGGAGCAGCAGCAGCAGCAACTCCTAACTTCTCCAGGAGGAAGCTATGGCTTGACGCCGGATCCTTACTCTTCCCTATCCTGGTATAGCAACCCTCAGTTCGATGTGGCACAGGATGACCCGTACATGCAGCAAAAACTCTGGGAGCAGGCCTTCACATTTTCAGGGCAAGACCCATTCTTATGCTATGACAATAGAACGAACATTCTCTTAGGGTTGAATGAAATGCCTTGGTCGGTGGACGAAAGTCCACCACCAGCATTCCCACTTCATCGTTTCTCCTCGTACCCGATTCAACGGCCGACCGGACAAGGCGTAGATGGTGTAGGTCCTCAGCCATGGCATGGTGGTAGTACTAATGGTTCACCAGAGCCTGTTACAACACCTGAGCAAGAAGTAGGGGGTGATCCTTCACAGGGATCTCTTGCAGGTCCTCTTCCAGGCCGAACTGGTCAAGTTGGTGTGGAAATGGTAGCTGAGCAGAAGGACCATCCCCACAGTCCCGAAAAAGACTCGTTCCTCGTAAGTGGCAGTGCCCAACCTGAGCCACAGGCAACATTCTCACGTCAACCTCAATCAGAACTCTACCCTGCTGCAACAACCCCTGGCTATGTCCCACAGACCTTGTCGACTGTTGCTAAGGTCTCAGCTGCACCAAGTGCTTCTAGTCATAGCCCTGTACGTTCTCAGACTCCTGTTCCTTCTTCTTTACACACTCAAAATCCTCCTAGCCTAAAGACACCACGCAACATGCACCCCATCCCCTCATCCTCCTCTAGCGCCCTCTCATCATCTGGGTCATCTCTGACTATGCCCATTCAATCTCAGACTCAAGGTCGTGTTATGCCGGCAACCCAGGGCTCTATGGGGGTCTCCAGCGGAGGGGACGGTCACAAGGGGGGAGGACTGGGGGTGGGAGGAGAGAGGGGTGGGGGAATACATGCATTCAGCAGAGGCCATGAAAGGTTGAAAGGAAAGGAGCCCGACTGGGCCGACCACGATACTCCCCCTTCCAGACGGCTTTGGGAGGATTCACCCAAATACAGCCAAGAAAAGCAAAGTCCTCAAAAGAAGCACCACCGTCATGGGAATGTCGATGCTGCTGGCATGCCACATGAGGATCACAAGGGAGGAGCAGAATCTGGTGCGCATCACAATTCGAGAAGTCGGGAAGGGCCGACTCCCTTACAACTGCAGGACAAAAGGGAAGGAACTACCCACAAGTCCCCGCGCAAAGAGGTCAGGGAAGGAGGACCCGGATATGGTCCACAACACCATCCGACTGCCAGGGAGAAGCCTACAGAATCTGATGCGCATCACAATTCGAGAAGCCGGGAAGGACCGACTCCCTTACAACAGCAGGACAAAAGGGAAGGAACTACCCACAAGTCCCCACGCAAGGAGGTCAGGGAAGGAGGACCCGGATATGGTCCACAAAAACGTCCGTCTGCTAGGGAGAAGCCTACACTCAGGCCACAGCAAAACCTCAAGGAAGGAAGTAATCGGAAGAGGTACGAAGAGGACAGGAAAGGACCTGCATCTGGTCCACATCCACACCAGGATTCTGCCGATAAGGTCAGGGAAAGACCTGCTGTACGCAGACCACATCATGAACATAGGGAGGGCGCTGAAAGTTCTACAAGACAACATGACTCTAGGGAGGAGACTCCTAGTCCTCGCACACCAGAAACACGCCATAATGCAAAGGTGGGATCTCCACCCCGGGATGCTGCTCACAGGCTAAAGGAAGTCTCCAAGGGAAGATCTGGTACCAATCGGCAGTAGTACTCTGGGGCGAAGAAACACGCATTGGCTACAAAAGGACTCTAGGGAAGGACACTTTTCCTTTTACTTCTTTTACCTAACACAAGTGCTCCTTTCTATTGGTGGGGGGCTCCACCTGATGGAAACTGGGTCCACCGTCCAATTGAAATAACGAGAATTTATCTTATAACTGTGATGGTAGAAACTCCCACCCTCTCTTTTCGTCCCACTCTATCCTTTCGTCCCACCCTCTCCTTTTGTCCCACCCCCGCTTTTTGTCACCATTGTTTTGTAATGCAGCCTTGACTACCTATTCAATAAGCTCAAAGACCTGGGAGGTCTCTGTGGGAGAAACAGAGGGGAAAGAAGAGAGAGAGACTCTACAACAACTCGATGAGGAAGGTTGCAGTCAAAATTGTACAGTTTGGTGAACAGTTATTATTATTATTATTGCAGAATCAGAGTGCTCCAAAAGGACTCCTCATCGTGGATGGCCTTCAGGCCCTAAACAAAGATATCTGAGCTACGGATTGACCCAGCCAGCTGGACATGGGGATCACAAAAGAAACAGGAACGAAACTACTCTAGATCTCTACATTCCCTATCGGTTAAGTCTACCTATCGTATGCTTTTTTTTTTTTTTTTTTTTCCCGGATGAACGGCCCGAGGTAGTGCTAGGGGTGCTGATAAGAGCAGACACCACTATCACTCTCGGGGAGGCTCCATCTATTGGTGGGGAGCAGCACGGGCTGGAAATCGGGTCCAGCGTCTCTGAACATCATATTAACTGCTTATGTGCCAAAACGTCCAATTGTAGCTACTGTCAGTCGCGTGGGCCACTCTCAGAGCAGGGAATTTGTATGTTAAAACCTACAATCAACCTAAAAGACAGTCTCTCAGAGATGCATGCAACACCTGAACCCAAGCAGAGAAGACATAAACCAGGTAAAATGGTTCAAATCAGTAAGATAAAAACCATCAAATATATCGTCACTACAGTGGCAAATAGAACACCGCTGTCTCCCCACAAATGACAAGTTAGTTGACATGACCTTTCTGGAGCAAAGAGACATAGGAGAACCCTGGTGCAAGCTCTGTCGATCAGCTTACCCTAGTAGAAAAATCCTGGAAACTATAGAGCCCATATTCCAAGCCTGCCCAGGCGCAATTTGGCTATGGAGATGGTGGGATCGCATTTGGAGCCAGCTGGGAACAACAACACAGAGACTGTGAGGACGCCGGCCTCAATATTATCATTTGAAATATCAGCCTTGGGCGCTGGGCCCTTTATGTGAAAAAAAAAAAAAAAAAAAAAAAAACACAGTGGCCATGGGGATGGAAGGAGATCCTACTTGCAGTCTGGTCCTCAGATCAGACATACGACTACACTCAGAACCTGTTCATCCTGGGTAGGAGAGCAATCCTTTGGGCCATATGGCAAAGAAGATGCACCAACAAATGGGAAGGTGCCACATTGGACGGCCCTGAATTCACTGAAAGCATCAGACAGCAAATACAGATCTATATCTTGCAACAATGGGAAATCGTCAAGGAAAAGATTCATTACAATTCATCAAAAAACGATATACTCAAGGTCATCCAAACATTCAGCAGTGACTGGCAAGGGGGGGGAAAGGGGGGGAGAATTGGGAAGGTGGTGTGGGACGGTTAGTCGGGGGAAGAAGGGGAAACGATCAACTGAAGTCTGAAACTACAAGCTATTATTCAGTGACTGGACTGAGGTAGATCCCTTAATCCCCCTCCGCCCCATGCATGACTTCCCCAACACTTTTCCACCCACCCATAATGCTATTGTCCCATTATCATGGTTTGGTCTATAGATGAGTAGTCGGTCTAGATGAGTAGTGAGTCGTCACAGGACGGATGGGTGTAGTGGAAGTGAATTGAGTCTATTCTCAAGCCACCAGTAGGGCTAGCACTTCATGTTCATCTGGCGCCCAGGTTTGGGTGAAGAGGCCCAGTGTTCAACTTCCATTTTCTCAAGCTTATGTATCCAATCGGACGCTGGACCCGGTTTCCAGCAGGTGCAGCTCCCCACCAATAGATGGAGTTACACACAGGTATACTAGTTGGGGATGCTCATATCACCCCAACTAGTACTACCTGCACAGTCTTGAAAAAAAAAAAAGAAAAAAAAAAAATCCCCAGCCGTTTGTTAGAATGGACTTCATTTCTTTCTTTTGAACAAGACTTGGGTTACTGCCAAGGAAGATAAGAGCAACCCCTGGTAGGCTGGTAGTACCCTCACCATGGGCTCCATTCTATCTGTGGGGAGCATCACCTGCTGGAAAACGGGTTCAGGCTCCCGGACTCTTCCGGGGGCGCTGCGCCGCCGGTGCGTTTCTCCGACATCCTGCTGGCGCGGTGGCTGTTTTTCCCGCACTTATGATTTGAGTGGCGATGGCGGGTGGGCTTCTGCGACATCCTGCTGGCGCGGTGGCCGTTTTCCCGCACTTATGGTTCGAGTGGGGCGATGGCGGGTGGGCGTCTGCGGGATCACTGCTTCGCTTGTATTTTCGAGCTCTCAAGGTGATGGCGGGCGACTTGGCAGGGGACTGGTGCATGGCCAGCGTACGAGCTTCTCTGTTATTCGGAGTGCTTGTCAGCTTCTCTTCTTGCGTCTTCTTTGCCCGCTTCGGGCGGCGATGGCAAGTTTGGTAGGTGCGGACGTGGAGGAGTTGCTAATCCTTGTATGCTTTGAGGAGACTGTACTAGACAACGGGGGCGAAGCGGTCAGGCACATGGGAGCATGCTGTTGAGTTTCGTTTTCCCATCACTAATGCATGTAAGTAGCTCGAAGTGCAAAGCTGGCGAGGAGGGACAATTTTTGCGAGGTGGGAGGTTGTACTTCAATGAATAAAGGGATTAAGGCGGCAGAACTATGATCCTAGTGTGGGCATTCCTCTTCTCTCTGGACTGCTAGTGAGAGGCCGTCGACAAGTTTGACGGTTTTTTGTCTTGCTACGTGGCGAGACTGATGTGGAGCTTGACGCCACGGTCCGCTGATCTTCATTGTTCAACCTGAGTTTTTGATGGTCGATGTGGTCGGCCACAACATGGTTGAGTTGCCTTCAGGCCGATGAAGCAGGAGGTCAAAGTTTAGAGGGGGGACGAACAGGATATGGGAAGAGCGATTGATAGGGGTGTAGGGATGATTATCTGTTGAGAGGCTTGAATCGGTGTTGGCCCTCAATCCCGCTCATCTCTTTCTAAGCCTTTTCTCAAGCCTTTTCTCACGCTTAAATCCCTTTGTTTGTGATGCCTTCTGATCTACCGAATGCAAGTTTGTATTTCCAAGAATGCACTCCTGATTGTAAATATCCTTTCCGGGGTTTTAATCCATTTCGAATTCGATTCATAGTAGGTTTCACGAAGGGTTAAAAAAATGGTTTCTAAAAGTTTTCCCRAATGATTTTCAGGATCGGTTCGGCTAAGTTGATGTTCGTGAATCAGATTTTTTGCCGCTGATCTTAAACAAGCGATTCCCATCTGTCTAGCGTTTCAGAGTACTTGTGAGTAAATTGAGAGCAATAACTCAGGTCGACTTTCGTAGAATTTCCAATATGATCTGGACATCTTAGATAAATTCCTCGATCTTGTTTTTCAAATTTTAATTCCCAAGTGATATTTCAGATGGATTACATCTTCGATAAATTCCTTGATCTTGTTTTTCAAGTTTTAATTCCCAAGTGATATTTCAGATGGATTTCTTAATCCAGTCTTAGTTTTGTTTCAATTTCCAATTTCTAAAAGTGTGATTCCGAAGTATTATTCTATGGGAAAAATCCGCGTCTGTAATCCTTATCTTCTTGTCTTGATAATTCCAAAAGTAGGTTTCTGAAGGATTCTATTCGAAAAAGACATCTGAAGGTGTATCCCTATGGTAATCTGCACGTCTTTTAAATTCCTAAAAAATTCTTATAAATTCGTAGCTTCTCTTTAAATTCTTGGGGGGCGGCGGGGGGATTAAAAAGGGGGATRAGGGAAGGAGAAACGGCGGCCTTCAATCAGAGGGTGTTGGTGAAGGTGAGTAGGTCAGGAGGACGAGGCTGGGATGACATGGGTCGGTGCTGGAGTTTGGCTCTGTGACCCAAGGGGAGCTTGAGGCCCATGGAATTATGCCGAGGGTGGAACGCATAACCAGATCGTCCAACACAAGCGGCGCAGGGGCTTTGACCCTGTAACCGGTTTAGGGGTTTGTCGCTAGGGGAATTGTCGAGGGAGGAAGGCACTTCCTGTTCGACAGAACTAGGTTGGTCGGTACTGGGGAAGGTTGCGGTGCCCTGTTACCCAAGCAGAAGGGGGTATGAGACCAAGTGAGTTCTGGTTCGAGGACTGAAAGTCGAGACCGACGGCTCTTTTGTTGAGGGGGGGATTTTAGGATGATTGGTATTTAGTTTCGCCCCCCCTTTTCCTTTTACCGGATTTTTACCTAGTTAAAGCCTGTTTTWWAAAAAAAAGGGGGTAGTSTGTTTTGTCTTAAAATGTCTTWTGGATCCTGGGGTTTTCTTTTAGGTGGTGTCGAGGCTGTAATACTCGGTGACCTAAGGCTGTTCGATGCCAGAACGACGCTGGCCGGTGCTGGGGTGTTGCCCTGTAACCTGCTGACGCAGGAGCATGAGGCCTGGTAGAGAGATCTGGGGGTGCTTTGGGGGGGCATTCCACGGGACAACCAAGGGTTGCTGCTGGGACGACGGTGGCTGGGGCCGGGGTGAGTTGTGTTGCCCTGTAACCCAGCAGGATGGGGGGTGTGAGGCCTGGAAAGCTCGGCAGGGAATAGGACAGTTTGGAGACCTTTGGAAGAGACTTTGCGGGATTTGGGGCTTTTTTAGGACTTCTGCAGTCTATTCCTGTACTTTTTTCTGAGTAACGGGTAGGACAGGGATTGAGGTGAGAGAGAGAAAGGTATCACACGTCCTGCTAGTGAAGGGGCTAGCTGGTAGGACAGAAATAGGGCATAACAGCAGTAGAGATGGTGGCTTTGTTGGAGTAAGTCTTGCCGGAGTGAGGCAAAGAGGACTGTTGGTGGATTTCTGAGTCTCCT